CATTGAGCGAGGCTCAGATGTAACGCTGTGGTCCACTGTGTGAGTCGGCTTCTGACATCGGAGATACCGCTCCTTCTCGTGGTAGGCTTGATTCACGATTTAGAATGGGCATTTCTTCGTGCTGCGCTGGCTCCATGTATACGGGGTTGCGTTCCTTCATTGAAGGAGTTTGAATCCGACGTCGATGTCCCGTCGAATCCGGCGACTGGTGAGGCGACTGCTCCGGGGCGACTGGTTGACGCGGCTTCTTTCCAGCGATACTGATGGAGACCACTCGTTGTGGTATCGGGGCAACGTGGAGATGATGTGGATATGACGTGGATCGACGTGAAGACGACGGTCGAGGAGGTGACGTGGATGTTCCAACCTGGAAGAACCGGTTGAGATTTTGACCTGGAGGTGACGGTTAAGGGACCATGGGCTACGGCGATCAACCGTGACCACCCGCGTAACGCACCCTTTCGCGGGTGGTCTTGCGGCCGGCCCCTACTACTAGGATCTGCATTTGGGCAGTCGCTCGCCAATGACCCCTTTCTGTCCCTCTTCAACAAGAACAACAACTTGGAATCGTAGGATTTGCCTTGTAACGTTTCATTTTTATTCGGCCAAATATTAGTGTATATGCGTAGGTAATGGAGTGAATGTAAGATTGGATTATGGAAGGAAAAAACTGAAGGATAAAGAACGTGGAAGACAAGTTTCAGTATCCAAAGTGAGAGTTATGAGGTTGCCCATACACTCATCAGTTATTTTATGAGAATAATTAGTAAGTTTGCGTCCTTTCGAAGTTACGTATTGAGTTGAGCGAAAATTCCTTCTTTATTTGAAGCTAATATCTTTTTAATTGTCTCTTTGGATTACTCTCGACGACTTTGGATTCGAATCAGAACGACCGCGATCTGCCGCACTTTTGATATACCTCCCTTTCAAAAAACGAGAAGAGCGTCGGGTGCAGACCATACACCACAAGTGACGACGGCCTCCACAAAATGTAAATGTTTTCTGCCAATGAAATGATTAGCCTGTTGCAGTTGTATTCTATCAGTTGTCACTAATTACAACTATCATTTACCAAAAATCAGCTATCACTATGAACCACTACTAACCAGATTTACTTGGAGGCCGTCGTCACTTGTGGTGTATGGTCTGCACCCGACGCCCTTCTCGTTTTCGAAAGGGGGCACGTATGCTGCAAAAAAGGAGACCTCTGGGAATTGTGAATATTTCATCCATGAGGAAATTTTGCCCGTAACTCATGCTGTTGAAAGCGCGTCTACAAGAAACCTACACTAGAGGGGCAAACGAATGGAGCGCTGCGCAGCCCCGTGACCCCCCCCCCCCTCCCGATAACGACAGGTTAGAACAGCTAGCACCCAAACACTACTGCGAAAAACCAAAATCCAGTGCGCAGCACGGCAGTACAGCGTCAAAGTCGCCACCTTGCACTAGGTTTCACTTTGATTCTGAACGCTATGAGACACACACCCTCGTAACCACTAACCCTACCCAGTGGTTGATCGCGTAAACGACCCCTACGGGTAAAAATGAACATTTCGAACTCCACAATCCTCGTGAAGTTCAACAAAAGTTATATGTCGTTACAATAACGACGCAGATCCCGCGCCGCACATCTATGATGATGGTGCATCGTATATTGCACGGGTTTTCCTACTAGATATAACATGAAATACTTCAGGTATGCCGGAGTTTACGCGGCAGGCAATCCAATAGCACGCACTGGTTGAAACGGTACTGGAGAAACGGGGTTGTATCTCGATTGACAGGCAAATGAGCAGAAAAGAGTTTCACAGAGCAGTAAATACAAAGGAGAATACAGAGCGAAAAGAGCATACTCGGTCTAAGCTTTGAAGGGACGAGGCACGGTGGATAATTTGTTAAGAGAGAAGATAACTCTAGGGGCAAAAGTCAGCACTTTACAATATAACGAGAATATATGAAAATTATAATGACCCTCGTGATTAAAGCGGGGAAATCCGGCTATGTTGCAAGAAATCGCAGCGTAGCAGTCTTAGTTCAGGGACATAAGTCACCACAAAGGTCGTTCAGCAGTTCAAACCCATTTTTGAAACACTTTCAGTTCGTGTAAAGAGCTCCAGCATGAAAAGAATGAAGCTTACTTAGTTGATCTAGGGAGATTACGAATGCGCCGCGCATTCTACTAATTCAGAAGTATAGCCGCATTTGTCAATCATCTACCTGATTTACAGAATCCAACAGAAGCAGTGGAATAATTTTCCAGGAAAGACGCCTTTCAAGCAACGTCGACTCGCGTTTGCACTTTCAAATTTTTGCGACTCCCCCTCCCAGGCGGTCTTAATACGACCCCATTCTAAGACCAGTCGACACAGCCCAACTGAGTCCACTTTATTCCACAAAATGGCCGTCGAGAGAAATGGGTGGGAGGGGAGGCACCTAATAAAGCAGCAGATCCTCTGGATTTTTCCATTTGATGCTTAAAGTTTTTGTAAATTGCCAGAATTGTGTGAAAACCCGTCAAAAACGTAACCCTTCCTCGCACCATAACCAAATTTCAGCTTCCGAAAATACAACCCTCTTTCGCACTTTTCGAAACGATTTCAAACTTGCACACCAAACACGAACCCTTCCCAGTTCATGGGCCCGAAGGGACGGTGAACCCTGTTTGCACAATAGCAACGATACTTGTAGCCTTCTCTAACCCGTTCCTGGTCCATAAACGTCGATTATATCGCGAGTTGTCGTCAAAGAGAGTGTGAAGCCTAACTTCAAACACTGTCAGCATTCAGCGTACTTGGAGAGGCTCAAACAGACATTAACACATATCAGAAGCCGATTGGATTATTTTCGAAAGTGTGAGTTTCGGTCCCTGACGTTTAGGGTATATCCATGCACTCAACGCATCCTGATTTTGTCATTTTGACGGAAACGGCAAATTTTTTCAGACTCTGGTAAGGCCGAGAAACTCCCTGCCAGCCTCGATCAATGCATCTCGGAATCGTATAATAGGCTATTTATGCCGTTCGCCGTAATAAAAGTAGACACGGTCGTAATGAGATTTCCTCTGGTGACTGGAGCCAGAAATATGTTCCGCTGAGCTACAATGACCGTGCCCTGCTAGTTTAAGGGGGGGGGGGGGTGAGGAGGCTTCGTCTACGCCTCTTTACGGTTGTTACTAATTCGGTGCCACGTGGTAGTGAAACTATGTGCAGTGGCACCGTGAAGGCGCAAACGAATACAGCTCGCAGCCTGTCCCCTCTCCCCTTGAGTTAGCACCCTAACGCAACTGGAAAGGACTAAGCGCAAAATCAGAATCGTACAGACCATAGCAGTATGGTTTCAAACACGCCGTTTGCGTTAAGTTGAACTCTGACTCAAGATCTCATGAGTTACACCCTCCTGCCACCATCACCCCTACGCAGCGACCCCACCGATAAAAATCGACACTTCGAGCCTCGTGAAGTTGAAAAAATTGTGATTCCATGATAAGCAAACCAGATATATGCGCCGCATTTTCTGTATGATGGTACATCATACTGCTCACGGGTTTGCCTGTGATAACATGGATTACTTCACGTACGCAGGGGTTTACCGGCAAGTAAAGCAGACTGTTGAAGAGGCACTGGAGAAAACGGGGTTATCAATGGACAGACAGAAATGTACAAAAGAGTGAACAGAGAAAGTACAAAGAAAAGAGAATAAGAGAGAAGGAGAATGTCATTCAGACACAGCACTTGTACCGCGAGTGAGAGTACCGTGTGGTGGACAATTTACCAAGAGATATGATAACGCTAGGGCTATAAAGTTAGCACTTCACAATATAACGAATATCGATGAAGATTATCTTGATGTCCCTTACGATGAAGGCGGAGAATTCTGGCTGGGTTGCGAAGATCGTAGGGCCGCTTCATGCACGTAAGACATTCCAGCATGGAAAGGACGAAGCTCACTTAGTTGAGCTAGGGAGGCTTAGAATGCGCCGCGCATTCTACTTCAATTGAGAAAAAAAAATAAAATTTGGAATGCGCTATCGTCTATGGAATGACTGCAGCAGATACACCAAAGGTGTTTTCATTTCCCATACGAGAGAGGTACCAATTACCCGACTCAGGAAGGAAAAGTTCTGACTGTCCTGGCCGAGATTCGGTCCAGGACATTTCGACTACCCAACCCCCTCGATTACAGGCGCGGTATGCGACGCCGCTTACCGCCACCGCCTACGCACATCAATGTATCCTCCCAACCAGGTACACTAAGCCCCGCTCCTACAACTCGCGATATATTAGGTTGTCCCTAATTAGTGAATCACTTTACATTTCGCGCTAAAAAAATCCAAGAAAAATGGTAAAAGCGTGAAACATGTTTTGCAAAGTAGCAGCCACATATCCTACCTTGAGGATCAATTTTCTAGACCCTATTTTGAGCGTCCTTCTTCATCACTTCTGGGGCCGTATGCTATCCTCCCCGAAGGGGTTAGGGGACGAAAATTCCTTTAAATTTTCTCTGTCTTCCCAACTGGGATTGCCCTGATAAAGGGCCTACATTTAATGTATGTATGTAGGTAAAGTAAACATGCATTGAAAATGAAGAAACTACATCGTTCAAAGCAAATAAATTTAAAGGAAACTTTGGGTCACCTAGCTTCGGGGAAGGATAGCATACGGCCCCTGATTAGTATATTTCAGAGTCCAAACAACATTTTGGATCAACCAGCAGATTCGCGAGGGCACGCTCCCCCAATCCACGGTGCATCTATGGTTCACTCTATTCCGGGTTGGCTTTTCATTTGAAGATGACCCACTCCAACTACCCTTCGACTGGCAATCTCACTGCCCTACCCAGCGCCACTGAGAATGGAATTGGACAAAGTAGTCGCTATTTGCCAGAGCATATCCGACTTGTTAAGATAATGGAATAGGTATCTGCTCGGTGCCGAATCAGCTCCTAACACGATCTGACATCGTCCTGTTCCCTCTGATCTCCCTTTAGTTCCTTGCACTCGAATTGTCTTCTAGGCACCACCTCAGAAAATGTTCTGCGAATGAAAGCGCTCTTTCAGGATAATCCTATGATATCGTATGTAAGAGAACCCGTTGCAGTTAATTCCAATACCGGTTACGGTCTCATTATATTCTTGATTTCGGGAGGGAAGGGTTATGAGAC